CACACGTCTCTACCTCTCCTGAGAAAATTAGGATAATTGTTTGGCACTTATTTAGTGAAGCATGGTAAACACCAGAGCCAGGCTGCTGGTATAAAGTATTCCTCTCATAGTTCGAATCTCGTATTTCGAAATTTACATTTGAGCAATCCTGTGTGAAGTAAAGAAAAGGCTCTGGCCTTGGATAGGACACAAATTAAGAAATCTGAAATAGTAAAACTAGAAGTGGACATCAACTGTGAAGAATCTTTAGATAGGGAACTTCTTAACTCTTATGATCAGTTTCCATTTGTTGTTTGCTTGTTTTGTTTTGTTCAAGGTGTTTAAATACGAAAAACTGAAATAAATAAAGTTCAATAATTTCTTTTTAAATATTTCTGCAGATCGACCGGAAGTTGTACTGGCTAACCCCAAAAGCATTGGACAGCAACTGGGCAAGGAAACCATTTTGGATTGCCAGATTTTTGCGCATCCTCAGGCTGTGACAAACTGGGAGAAAAATGGGAAACCACTTGTGAAAAATGATAAGTAAGAATTTTAAAAATCTGACAGTGTGTATTGTTTTTAAAAAAAAAAAATATGTGTATCTCCATAAAGCTGCATGTGATTAAGGGTTCTGTAAAGGTGGGACTATATGTGGATGTGAAACACAAAAATGTATTAGACAGAATTAGGAAATTAACCCCCCCCCCCCCACCCCCCAAAAAATAAAATAAAAAACATTGGATAATAATTGTCATAGCGGTCTGTTGCTGAGCTTTTCAAACTGTTCATAAACAAATTATGTAACTACTAATTTCTGCTGTGTAGATTACAATTTAAAATCAGTCAGCCTACCAAGGATTCAAACATGGATGTTCTGAATTAGACCCAATGTTCTTAACTGCAACCATTTTTTTTAAATGAGTTGGTCATGACATTTTGTTTCTCAAATTACACCTCCATAAACACACACATGTAACATCTTTTTCTTCAGATATGACATAGACGTCTTTAAAAATGATAATGAAAATTCTGTGACCTTGGCACTGAGAATACGTGATCTGGCACCTGCTGATTATGGTGGCTACGAGTGTGTGGGCTCCAACTTCCTTGGTGAAGACAGAGAGACAATGATTCTTTATGGTAAGAAAACTGCATAATTATAGAAGCACAATAACATTTAGAAAACTTGTTTCTATTGAATGAATGATGGAAGTAGTTGTAAATAAAGAGTCATTTGCATGCCAATATTACATCATATATGTTTTTTCCCCTCTTAAAATTTGACTTAATTTTTAAAAGTTGCCAGTACTGCTTGTTGTTGCGTACCGCCAGAAGAAAAAATTCCTTGTTAGTCCCACTTTTCTTAGACTAATTGCTACTTTATGGCTGATGTAGTTAGCATCATGACGACCGTTGTTAGTGCCCAGGGTATTCTCTGGTATCCTATTGTATGCTAGATGATCGCAACAGCACAGTTGGAATATAAAATAAAATCATATTGGTTCAAAATTCAACACACAACTTTTGGGTCAGACTGTAATACTAACACACTAGTGTATGTGATGTATCTCAGAGAAACCTCTATAGCAGGAATATTGATACTAATTTAGAATAAAAGTATAAATTGGGATTAAACTTTGACTTTAAGGTTGTATAAATGAATGAGAGGTGATTTACATAGTTTATAAATCACTATTGATCTTATTTTATAGTAGAAATATTAATTAAATTGTATCTGCATTGTAAATGTTTAGATTATACATAATAACTACTGTATTTAAATGCATATGATAGAGATATAGTGTATACAGTTCTTTCTGTGTAGGCAGCAGGACCCCTCTTTTTGGAAAAAAAAAAGGCTGAATGAATCTGAGTTTAATTGTCAGATGAGATTGAATTTTGACCACTGCAGCATCACAGAGAAGGGTACTGCTTTCTCCTGGCAAACTGAAACATTGCTGAAGGTTGAGATGCTCAACCGTATGCATGTGGAAAACAAGGGGAGACTAACACATTATATACATCCCTAGAAACTTTAAACGGAAAAGAATCTTCAAGATCTGACGGTGGCACCCCCTGTCGACAGTTCAATGAAGCGAAATGGGGAAGAGAACAAGATGCATTTCGGTCATGTTAGGTGTCATGATGCCTTGATCGGGGTAACAGAATGTGAAAAAATGAGGCAGAGATAGGTCTCTGCGAAGGTGGATACAAGATGTTGAAAGTGCATTCGCTAAGATACCAGAGAGGGCTGGAGAACTGTATAGAGAAAGAGATGTTTAGTGATAGGGGTGGCATTCTGTAAAGACACTACTGACTGATGATTATTATTATGGGGGAAATTCAACATTTAAAAAAAAGTGGTCACCGGAAAATTTATCAATTTTCTGAGAATTTATGAGAAAAAGGGGGGATGATTAAGTTAACTGGTCATCTGACTTAAAATGTTCTAACTGGATTTGTGTTTCATTATGATTTTCTCCTCCAGATTGCAGAATGAAAGTTTGAAAACCTGAGATTTGAACATTTTAATTAGGGTGACAGACTAGCAGGTCAAATCACAGATACCCATTTAACTTCTAAAGAAGGTATAACTCATTCACCCTTAACAGTTACGCCAGTGATTGTAACCTGCCGCCCGTGCAAGCAATGCTATTTCAAACTATATAAAGATATAGGCCTAACTGTTCACAGGCCAAAGGCAGTATCTTCTATTGGACTGCCTTTAACTGTGTAACAAAAGCTGAATGTTATTTCATATTTTGTCAGACTCAACTTTTATTTATGTTTTCTATCTTACAGAAATTAAACCTCCATCCACAACAACAGAAAGTACTACAACTACGACTACCATGAACATCATGGACTTGGCAAACACAAATGTACTAATAGATGATCGTCGCCCTAAAAATCAGAAGCACGACAAAAACAATCTTCCATTTAACCAAGATGGACAATCGGAACATCTGGGACGAAATACTGGTGATAGAGTTAGAGGTATGGAAGATTTTGTTAGAGGAGTCGACAATAAAATGTATGCATTCTTGTTTAAAAGGTAAAGGTGAGGGGATCGACTTCATTGCACCGGATGTCATCCAATATGGCTAAGTCTCTCTCCACACAACAGCTAGCTGCCTGCTGAGTGTCACACAGAGAACGACCTCCTTAGCTCCAGCGACAATCCCCAAGAATCTTCGCAAAAAATTGCAGTCGTGAACTGAATGACGCCGTCGAGAAATGAACCTATGACCTTCAGAGTGGGAAGCCAACAACTTGACAATTTGCCACGTAGATCCCCTTTGTACTGTTTCTTTGTCCATTTGTATTGTTTGCTGATGAGGACCTTCTAGCTACAATGTTCATTTTGTCATTCATGCTTGGATTTTGTAAAGCTGATTAATTATACTTCTCATTTAGACTTACATTTACAACAAAGCATTATTATATGACAAATTATTGATAGAGATGTTTGTATTCGTGTACATAATATTCTTATGTAGTTGTTTTATAGTGTATATTTTGTATGTGTACTGTGTTGTCTTTGTTTGTTCGTACTTGTGTACATATAGTTCTAATGAGGTCATCTCATAGTGTATATTTTGTAGTGTGTTGTCTTTGTTTGTTAATGGAGGCTAATCACTGCAACATCCTTTGTTTGTTCATTTTAATTGATTTTATAAAGCGGACATAAACTATTGGTTTTTTTTTCTACCCTTTTTTTTCTCTTCCTTATTATTTTCCTGCCCTTTTTTCAAACTTTGATAGAGATTGAACATGCAATTTGCCTAATTTTTATTTTTGGGTCGAAATGACTCAGAACTTATGGCTATAATGAGATTAGAGCATTACATGTTATGGTCAGAGTACCATACCTGTGCAGAAATACTGATTATGTCTTAAGTATAAAGTATTAGAGTTACAACACAGTGCCATGTGCAATATGCGTTGTATAAAAGGTGACTGTTTAAGGTGCGGATGTTTGCGATTTTGAGGTGATAAAGCGAAGTGATATAAACTTAGTATTATGTGTAATTTTGAGTCCTGGACTTCATTTAGGTTATTTAAAAAAAAAAAAAAAAAAATCCACCACCGCTTCACAATCATCTCGTAAAATGCTACTAAAAACGGTTTGCAGAAATTAGATGTGTTAGCCTGAAAGGCTCAGAAATCACAGCGTAGCTGTAAATTACACCACAACAGACGGACTGACATTTTACCCCACCAGGACATCACACTGAGCGACAAACACCTGGTGACACAAAGTGCCACCATTCTGATGAGTATGCACCCGTGAAGAGGTCTTAGAAACCTTGTTCAACCTTTAGGTTATGTGAGAGCTCCCGGCAACAGCCATGGTGAGGTTTAAAACGAACGAAAAATTCGTCCCATTTGGGGACGTGAATGCATTATTACACCACACACGTCAACAGCTTTTAAACAGCTACAGCAGAATAATAATAATAATAATAATAATAATAATAATATTGTTGTTACATTTTCCTCTTCCCCTTCGACTCATAAATTTTATTTTTCGCTTTGCTTGACACTTTCCTGTTAACTTATCTTTATCTAACGACGCATTATCCACCTTCTCCTTCCACAAAAGTGATTGTATGAATGGCGCTCTACTCTTCTCAGGCGCTCCTTGGAGTTTTCAAACCTCTACGACCTGACAATGTCCGCGTCTTTTGCTTAGGCGTTGCGAACGAGCTTCGTAATGCCAGGGTGCTGGGTTTGATACCAGCTGCAGGCCTGGCGCCCTGCGTAGGTGTCGACAGAGGTGTCGAGATGCCGCCGGTTCAGAAAGCATTGGCAAACTATTGGACGTAACTTTGCCTAGAAATACCACAACAGACAAAAAATGCTCGGGTTGGTTCTGAAATGTCCTGTAAAGGATACACAACTAACATTTTAAAGAGTTTAAAACTGAACAGGGCAAAAACCGAGAAACAGCAAGAACATTTCTGTGTCATAATTATATCAGGGAAAGATATAAAACTGAACGAAAAGTATATCAACGAGCTTCACAATATATGGTGTATCGGTCATGTCGGTCTGAAACTCTAAGTATAAAGACCAGTCAGCACTGAATGAGTAATGTGGACAACACCACGCCAGTTGCTTTTACTGTCTAGCACTTTACTTGGTATCCTTTGTAGGGAAAATACGGAAAGGGGGGGGGGGCGGGGGTGAGAAACAAGAATAGACCCACTACAGGACACCCTTCCCTCCCAAAGAGCATGTTGTAAGAGTCGAATATTTGGGAGCTTCCTTCGAAGTCAGAGTGCATTCGCTCGAGCGTCTAGGAACAACCAGCTACACACAAATAATAAAAAAAAGTGAAATGGATGAATACGCAAAACTCATAGCCTGGCATAAAGAAAAAGTCCAAATAGACAACAACCAGGCCTTTTCTCTGGAGCTTGCAGCTGGGGAACGAAGAAGAAGGAGAAGTGGGAGACGAGGTCAGTTCTGATGAAAAAGTCCGCCTGGATGCGAGTTTGAAAAGAAGTTATATTTGGGCACTGGTAATGGGGACACCACGGACTATCCTGCTGCTGTGTACGGGTTAGGATATATATATATATATATATATATATATATTTATATCGAGGATCCTCTGTCATCATTGCATGATATGTAAGACCAGTTTTTTTTTCTTCTGGAGGTGTACAATAGTACGCAGTATCTGCACCTTCTTTAGGCATCATTTTCTCAGCGCTGAGAACTGGAACCTTGTTTTTCTAGAAAAAGCTCTGTGCAAAAAGCACTGTTTAATAAGTATAGATTATCCGTTTATAATCAGATTCACTCTGTATGTATTAATGTGTAATACGTCGACACCTATAAAATGCGCCACATATACGTGGTAAGGAGGTGCAAAGTAGTAATTATATATTGCCAACACTCTACTAGCTACCTTGGAAAGTTCAGTCCAAATGTGTCTTATTCTGTGATAAGACATTTGTATCGACCTGAAAGAAATTGCTATGCCATTTAATTTTAATTAAAATTTGTTTTATATACTTTCTGGTTACGTTGTATGTAATAAATTCTGCGTTTATCTCTAGGCGGTCATTTTTACGACAGCCAGCACGACATAAGGCCAAATTCTGCAACTTCATCTTTAAACTCTGATGGCAGGTCCTATAACTCTGGTGAGTATATTTTATTTAATACTAACCAGAATTATCTACCCTAAACTGTTTTAACGTTGAAGCTAACCGGTACATTTCTCTTTGACTTTATTTAACAGTTTTGCACTAAAATGTAATATAAACTACAATTACGAATATGTTGTGTGTCAGTGAGTGCGTGTATTTGTGTGCTTGTGTAAATAATCCATTTCAGTTTTCTGAGAAGTATTTGGCAATTAGCAAGTTAAAAAAAAAGTAAAGGACCTTTTTTCCCGCCTTCAGGCGTATAGGGCATATAGGGCTAGACCTATATTTTTATACACCAACCGGCACAAGATTGGTGGTGTGGTCAGCATCACGTCGGCCGCCTTTACTTGCCAGGACTGCACCTGGTACCCACTCAAAGCTGGGTCTACCTGGGAGACAAGGTCATTTTTAAAAAAAGCCCGGCTACGCCAGGAAGTTAACCTTCGACCTTCTGATCCGCAGGCGATTGTCTAGCCGCTACGCCATGGTGACTTCCCTGGCAAAATAGTTCTACTTCGATATTCTAATAGTGGCTTTGTTGACTTACCAGCTTTCTGCGTCGTCATGTCGGAGGCCATTTTTGTTGTTGTTGTTTCAAAGCCACACCTCTGGCTGTGCCGGGGTGATCTTCATCCAAATGGTGGCACTTTGTGTCACCGGGTGTTTATCACTTGTTGTGATGTGTCATTTGGATTGAACTTCAGTCAGTCACTCTGTTGGTCCTTATCCACGTAAGACTGCGGGTGTTACGTATCAGTTACGAGTGCCCAATTCTTTAGAGATTGAGCAAGGTTTCTGGGATCTACCTTGTTGGTCATTATCCAGAATGAGATTTTTAAATCTCATAAAGCTATGTAAATGTCTAGGTAGCAGCCTTGAGAGGATAGACCGACCTATTGATCGTTACTTTATTAGTGTAATAATATTCAGTATCATGTGGAGACAGCTGCATTGGGCTGGTCACCTAACCCGCATGCCGGTATATCGCCTCCCATAGAGGTGCCAGGAAGGACAGAAAAAGCTCTATAAGGACACTTTCAAGACTGCTCTCAATTTTTTTGGCAGCAACACAGCGATGTGAGAGGCTGCTGCACAAGACCATTCTGGATGGCGTGCATCCCTCAGGCATGGTGTATAGGCCTGCCAGGCAGCGGAAGTTGCAGTCAGAGAAAGGGAGGCAGACTAGAAAGAATCATACTGTGGCTTCCATCTGTTGTGCGCCCTACTCAGAACTTCACAGGCTCATATTGGACTAATCAGCCATCTTTGTACTCATAATCATTGATCATTACTACTTTAGATGAAAAGTGGTCTTCATCACTCTTGATGGTTGAACAACATATTATTATCCTAGCCACCTTCTTTCACTCAAACAGCTTTAACTCTGGGCTGGCATGCAGGAAACCTGTCCTAACAGCTTTGACACAACACCTTAAGCAGCATTTCAGCCACCGAAAAGATATACCTCCTTACGAGGTCAGATTGCAATATCAAGTCTGTCCAGACTTACTTCCCGGACTAAATTGCAAACTTGATGACCTATGGACTTTACATTTACCGATGATGCAACCATTACTGCATATATAAGACATTGTCTGCAGATCCTCATAAACTGATCTACAAGTGCGTGCCTGGATTTTAGACTGACTATCAGTCCTAACGAAAAACTAGTGATGGGGATGAAGGTGTTAAGCCCAGCAAGCATTAGGGTTTACGACTTTGAGCTGTTGATTCTATACCACCATATTGCCCAAAAGTATAACAAAACGGACGAATATGAAACGAGAGTGTGGTCAAAAAAAAAAATCCTGACAGAGGAGGAAAAAATCCCCCAGAGAACCACTCTAATATGCAAAGAAACCTTGACTAT